AAACACAAACAACAAAAAACCCACACCATTAAAAAAAAAAAAAGGACCAGTTAGAGACAGAAGAGCCCAAATGGTCCAAAAGCAAGAGATCCTGGGCAGGCTGGCAGCTGGTTTGAAATGCAGAAATGATCCTAAACCGCCTTGTGGGATCCATATGAGAAATACCATGGAGTCTGCTTTGGAAAAATGCCCAAGATTCCATCTGGGAAAAGTAATCTGAGCCTCAGGCCTGGTGAGAGGCAGCAGACTGGAGGCTTGGAAAATGATAACCCAAAGGCCACTCACTAAAGATCAAAGGTGAGAGGCAAGTCAGGCTGGAGCCAGCGAGGCAGCAGGGATGCTCTCAGAGAAAGCTCCTCTCTGGAATGGAGCAGGGGTGGCATCTGAGAGCCCGTCAAGACTCAGCCTGACCAGGCACACAGGAAGCAGACTTCATTATACTCAGACTCTCCAAAGAGTTATAAAAGCTCTTGGTTGGAAAGGGTCAAAATTAGGATTTGAGGGACTGGGGAGAAGACTCAGAAAAACCAGTGAGCATGCTTTGTATGCAAAGGGCCTGGGTTGGATTCCTGACACCCCCTGATCCTCCTCACCGCGCCACTGCCAGAAGCCACTCCCAAGCATCATGCGGGATTAGCCCATGAACACCACCAGCTATAGTCTCAAAACAAACAAAAACGTAGATTATTCTGGCTCTCACCAGGGGTATTAATAACTGGCATTCCTTCCCTCTTTTTCCCTCCACATACTTTTTTTTTCTTTATCTCCTCCCTCTTACCTTCTCTTAGTTGCTGTTTCGGCAATTACAGGGGCTGAGGTCACCTGTAAAGAATTTTGGTCCTTGGTGCTCAGTTCTCATCCACTTGGTCTCAAGAACCCTCAGGGCTTATACTGCTGGCTGGGTTGCTCTCACTCATCTGGCTACAGTGCTCACAGATGGTGCTGTGGTATCTACACAGTCCATACTAGAGGGTCTGTGCTGGCATGTCTTCTGTTGCAAGCTTTGTGCATGACAACCACACCCAGAATTGAACCTGTGATCTCAATCTTGCAAGGCAGGTGCTTTGGTCACAGAGTTAGGGAGTCACATCTCCCTAACCCTGTGTGCTTTTAACCGCTTCACACATGCCAGGCACATACCACAGGGCTACCTCCCAGCCCTGGCCAGCCATTATGTGAGGTCACCTCCATGGCTCTTTCCCATGGCCTCAGTGGTGGATGGAGCCCTTGGTGCCTGCAGGAGTGCCTCTTCTGGAGCCCCCAAGCTGTCCTGGTGGATATTAGGAAGACTAGGGCTGGAGCGATAGCACAGCGGTAGGGCATTTGCCTTGCATGCAACCAGTCCGGTCGAGCCGGGTTCGATTCCTCTGCCCCTCTCGGAGAGCCTGGCAAGCTACTGAGAGTATCTCGCCCACACGGCAAAGCCTGGCAAGCTACCCATGATGTATTAGATATGCCAAACACAGTAACAATAAGTCTCAAAATGGAGATATTACTGGGCCCGCTTGAGCAAATGGATGAATAGTGGGAGGACTGTAGGAGGTATGAGGAGGCAGGAAAAACAAAAACAAAAACAACCTTGAATCAGTCTGGACTCAAACTAGAAATTGAAAAGGTCCAGGAAGAATGAACTTGTAGCTTAGCCTGGGTTCTCAGAAAAAGCATCACAAAGTTAATTTGGAGATAATCAAAGGCATTCTTTATTAGGTGTGATGGGAACTGCTAACCAGAGTCCATCTTAACAGGACTGGCCATCTTCTCGGTGCTTGTGATACTCTTGAAAACCCAGCTAAGTTTATAGTGAATGCTTACAGGGAATGCCCACCTCAAGTTAGGCACACTATTAATGGCAAAATGCAAAATAACATGTGTGAACACTGACTGCATGACTGAAAACAACCCCATGCTCCCCTGACAGGGGACGCAAGTTTGTTCCCTGGGGTCTGTGCGATGGTGACTCTGCCACTCAGAAAAGGGACAGGGAAGGGCCATTTAGTGCTGGACATGATCTTCGGGAGTTTTACTCAGAGCTGAGAAAGCTGTGTTCATAGAATACCACTGTATTTTATGTAGTTCAGTAGAAAATGCAGTTTTTGTTTCTGGACCTGGTCTTTCTCTGGGTTCAGATGGGCTTTCAGCCTACCTAGAGAGGAGTTTAGCTGGGTGTGGGACCTGGTGGCTGCTATTATTACTTTCCTAGCACCACTTTCTACTGCATGTCAAGTGGGGACTAGTTGTTCAGAAAGTTCTTCCTGGATATATGCTTGAAGTCTTAGCTTTGTATACCCTTAAGAAAGGATCTGGTTTGCATTCATCTGGGAAACATCAAAGTGACAAAATAGGAGACTAACACCCAAGAATAGCTGTGATAAATACCAGGAGGTTTATTCCATGGCTTGGAGGCCAGCCGCACACTCTAGGAGTAAAGGCAGCTCAGATAGAGAAGGGAGCACCCAATAAAGGGTGCTGGGAAGATCTGCCCAGGATGGGAGAAGCATGCTGAAAGTAGACTATAGACCAAACATGATTGCCACCCACTGCCTCTTTTGCAAACCACAGCACCCAAAAGGAGAGAAAGAACAAAAGGGAGTGCCCTGCTACAAAGGCAGAGTGGGATGGGGGAAAGGGAGGTGGGGGTGGGAGGGATACTGGGATTGGTGGGGGTGGAGAATAGGCACTGGTGGAGGGATGGGTACTCAATCATTATTTAACTGAAACCCAAGCGCAAAAATTTGTAAGTCTACAGCTGTACCTCATGGTGTTTCACTAATATAATAATAATATAAATAATAAAAAAAAAGAAGAAAGGATCTGTTGGAGCTGGAGCGATAGCACAGCAGGTAGATCGTCTGCCTTGCACACGGCCGACCCGGGTTTGATTCCCAGCATCCCATATGGTCCCCTGAGCACCGCCAGGAGTAATTCCCGAGTAGAGAGCCAGGAATAACCCCTGAGCATTGCAGGGTGTGATCCAACAAGAAAGAAAGGAAGGAAGGAAGGAAGGAAGGAAGGAAGGAAGGAAGGAAGGAAGGGAAGGGAAGGAAGGATCTGTTGGCTTCCACAGTCATTCATTTACTTGGTGCTTGTTATCACAGTGGGGAGAGGCAAAGGCAACCAGTGGTCTTGTCCCAGTCTCCCGGGGAGCTGCTGTGTCCTGGGCCATGGCCTCCCTGGGCTTCCCGCCTTCCCCAGCCCTCATAGCTCCACCTTCTTTCCCTCTCCCACCAAAGTTGGTTGTGGTGGAGCGATGGATGTAGGGGAAGGAAGAGTTAGTGATCTGGGCAGAATCTGGGAACTCTTCTCTGCAGGAAAGGGGGACCTGACAGTTCACAGTTCGTCCCTGCCATTTTATTAATAATTCTAAATAAGTCACCTTAATTGTATCTCAATGAGCACTCCAGACCCGTTGTGAGCTCCTTGTCTCTCCTGGAGAGGTCTGCCCCTGAGCATAAATGGATAGAATTGATCTGGGGTCTGACTTTCAACCAAAAATCATAAGGTTATAAAAAGCAAGAAAAAATTATAGCACTAGGGTTGAAGCAATAGCACAGCAGGTAGAGCGTTTGCCTTGCACGCAGCTGACTGGGTTTGATTCCCAGAATACCATATGGTCCCCCGAGCACCGCCAGAAGTGATTCCTGAATGCAAATCCAGGAGTAACCCCTGAGCATCGCCAGGTGTAACCCAAAAAGCAAAAAAAAAAAAAAAGAATTATAGCACCAAAAGACAAGCAACCAATAGAATCAGATATGACAGACACTAGGACTATAAGATAGAAGATTTTTTGTTTATTTCTTTGGGTCATACCCAGTGATGCTCAAGGGTTACTCCTGGCCATGCACTCAGGAATTACTCCTGGAAGTGCTCGGGAGACCATATGGGGTGCTGGGATTAAACCCTGGGTGGTCTCATGCAAGGCAAATGCCCTACCCACTGCACTATCAATAGCTCAGACCTAAGGAGATTTTTTTTAGGTGGGTAGTTTCCCATTTTATACTTTGTTTGTGTCTTTGGGATATACCTCATGGGAGCTCTGGACTTTTTGCTGGTTCCAGTGCTCATTGTTCATTGCTGGCAGGACTCGGGAAATCTGGACTTGGGGACTACATGTGGTGCTTGAGCTCCAACAGGTGTTAGGTCTCAGGCAAGTCAAGTGCCTTACTCCCTATACTATCTCGCCAGCCCAAACTTTCCATTTTTAATGGAAAAGATTTGAGTGTGTGTTATGGTTCTTAAATATTTTCTCTAAGAAAACTCCTTACCGATGTAAAGGTAAAGGTAAAGGCCCTCCCGTTGATCGTCGATTTGCTCGAGCGGGCCCAGTAACGTCTCCATTGGAGACTTTGTTGTTACTGTGTCTGGCATATCGAATACTCTTGGTAGCTTGCCGGGCTCTCCGAGAGGGGCGGAGGAATCGAACTCGGGTCGGCCATGTTGGCCACTTGTAAGGCGAACGCCCTTCCCGCTGTGCTATCGCTCCTTTTGGAAAAGATTTTTTTAAAATGTCTTTTGGTTAATGATGTTTTCTGGTAGTGCAAACTGCATAAATTGTACCAGTCTTTCCATACATAGAGACGCTCTTCTTTTTTCTTCCAACATAGCTGCCCTTAGAGCAGGTCCATCTGACAGAGCCATTCTAGCCTAAACTGTCCTCTCTGAATGGGGTCTGCGGGGGCCTCCCTCCCCTCCCCAAGGAACCACACTGGCACCTAAGTGGGTGTTCATCCGCTGGAAGCAAGAGGCTCAAGTATTTGCCTGGGGTGGGGGTGGGGTCACTGACAGTCCTTTGCAAGAATCAGACTGGCTCTGTCTTTCTCCGGAGAGTATGGGGAAGGTACAGCCATGGTAGGTCGGGGTGGGGAACACCCCTCCCTCTGGTGTTTGTAAAGTGGCCCTTGAACCTTCCGAGGCACAGCTCGGTGCCTCTCTTTCAGCTACTTTGCACAGTCTGTGCCTGTGGGTAGCCACCACCATCTCCTCCCCTCCCGCTGCCTCTGCAGAAGGCGGCCTCCAGGACGTACTCGCAGTTCAGCGCCGACGTGGCTGAGGCCATGGCCTTCTTCGACTCCATCATCGCCGAACTGGACACTGAGAGACGGCCACGCACCTCAGAGCTGCAGCCGCCCAACGAGGACGTGGACTTTGACGGTGAGCACTGCGGGACAGCTGCGCGTGCTGCCAGGAGGCGGGATTCAGGGTTCAGGGGTGCACTCGCTGTAAGACAGACTTTCAGGGTTGTGCATGTGGGAGGAGGAGGAAGATCAACGGGTTGCAGTTCAACGTTTTGCCTGCAGGAGGTCTGGGATCAATGCCCCAAGCACAATCACCTTCAGGCATGAATTTCAGCTCGGAGCCCAGCGTAGCCCCTGAGCACCTCTGGGTGTGGCTCCCAACCCAACCAGGTAGCTGAACTTGCAGAAAGCCCGCTTTTGATCAGGGGAAGCTTTCAGTGCAAACCAAGCTGGAGCGAACTGTCCCTTCCTCTTGCATGCCTGCTGCCTCCGACCCTACCCACCCACCACAAAAGTCCCTCCTGAGGGTCCAGGGTGAAACTGCTGGTATAGACTTGGGGGACAGGAGAATCCAGGAGAGGGGTCTTGAGTACCCAGACAGCACCGGAGCTGTGCCAGGCAGAACCCTTCTGTTTATCTGGCCCACAACTATGTGAGGATACTCTGTGTTACCAAACTGAAGTTTGGTGTTACCTGTGTTTCACCAGATAGAAAAGAAGAAAAGAGAAAAGATTTCCAACTCTTTGGAAATCTCTTTGGAGTTGGCTGGGCCCTGGGATGGCTCTACAGGGACCCCAGTCTTCAGCACCCCCCACTCTACCTCCCACTCTGCGTGGATGTAGGGGAGAGGGAGAAGGTGCAGTGGGCTATGCTGGGAGGCCCCAGGTTGGTGTGCATATGTGTGTGTGTGTGGTGGGGGAGGGGGTCTCCGAAGTGCCCACTGGGTGGAACTTGGCTGCGTCCTAGTGGGGAGTGAAGACTCTCACCATGCCCAGGAGCTGAGCCCACTTTCCAATGCCCTGAAGCAATTGTCTATGACTTTAATCTGTGACTTGTTCATCAGGGCGCTGTTAGGACACGGATCAAGATCTCCCTTTAACAACAAAGAGACTCTGGAGACTGCAAAGAGCAAGCAGGGTTTGTTGTAAGACTGGCTAGCCAGGGTTGAGCCACCTATGCAGACACACAGGTCCAGCAGGTTGAGCAAGACCCCGAGCTTCTCCAAAGGAGATCTTACTTATATAGGCCTCCACCAGCCATTACAGCAGAGCCCGCACATTTCATAGCCAATAGATTTATAACAACACATACTTTGCTAACCAATTCATTTAAAAGTCCATCACTTCTTAGCCTATAGTTTAAAGATCAGCATTTGCGTCAGTACTTAGGAACATCCTGGTTTTTAGGACAGTCCTGGATCTTGTGAGAGACATCTGGTTATCTGGTCTGACCCCCATCCTTCTCGTGATTTGCAACTTGGGGCACCTGTATCTGAGTTCCTTGCTCAGGGGCAGAAAAACAAATTATTTTGCAATACAGGTTCCTGTAATGAAGATCTGAAAAAGCTATCTAGATCTGTTTCTCACAGGCACAACAGATCATTACTGATTACTAAAGTGATAGCTTTTGAAGCCAATATGAAATAACAAAATAAGCCTTGTTTCTCTAAGGCCCACATTCTGGGGGCTGGTTGCTCTGGCCTCCCCCCTTGTCTTTGGGAGATTTAAGTCCTTCCTGGGCTCAGTCGCTTCTCTGCAGGCCTCCTCCCCAGCTCACTACACCCACCTCTTCACCCACTGGATCTCCTGGTCTCTGACTAAGATCAGTTCTCACATTGCTAATTAGGCCTGGAAGAGCCAGGATACCAGGCAAAAGAAAACAAAGACTGTTGTCATCTTTGCAGCATTTATTTTGTTTCGGGGCCATGGCTGGTGGCGCTCAGGGCTTACTCCTAGCTCTGTGCTCAAGACTCACACCTGGCAGTGCGCAGGAAACGGTGTGTGATGCTGGAGTTCAAACCAGGTTCTTGACAACTATTATTGTCATGTTAGTCCCATCCCTATCCTAACTGCCCTTTGTCCCTTCATTCCCCTCCCCCACACTCTTGTGGCAAACTTCCAGCCATTAAGTATTGTATTCTTGGATAATAGTCTCATACTATACATATATATGTATATATGTATTATATTTCACAAATGAATAGTCATTTTATACTTGTTTCTCTTCTTCAGACTCATTTCACTCAGCACGATACTCTCCATGTCCATTAATATAAGCAAATTTCATGACTTCATTATTCCTAATAGCTATGTAGTATTCCATTATGTAGATGTACCATAGTTTCTTTATCTGTTCATTTGTTCTCTGTCACTTGGGTTGTTTCCAGATTCTGGCTATCGTGAACAGTGCTGCAATGAACACTGAAGTGTAGATGACATTTCTGCTGTGTTTTTAGGCACCCAGGCTATCTTCCTAGAAGGGGTATTACTGAATTATATTCAATATGCCAAAAACAGTTACAACGAGTCTCACAATTTGTTGTGAGATGTTACTGGTGCCCACTCAAGCAAATCGATGAACAATGGGAGGACAGTGCTATCCAACAGATTGAAGTTGTGAAAGGTGATGCCTTCTATTTTCTTTTTTCCAAGAATTGCTTTGACTCTTCATGGGGGTTCATTGTTTCATATAGATTGCAGGAGTGGCTACCCTTATAGGGACTGTATTGAATCTATATAATGCTTTGGAGAATATTGCCATTTTTGACAATGTTAATTCTCCCAATCCATGAGCAGGGGATGCATGTTCATTTTCTCATGTTCTCTTTTATTTCTTGGAATAGTGTTTTGTAGTTTTCTTTTTACAGGTCCTTTACCTCCTTAGTTAAGCTATTTCTTGATTTTTCTGAGGAATAATTGTGAACGGTATTGTTTTTAAATATCTCTTTCTTCTCTTTCATTATTTTTATATAGGAAAGTCGTGGACTTCTGGGTATTGATTTTGTAGTCTGCCACTCTACTATATAAATCTTTTGTTTCTGGGAACTTTTGGTAGAGTCTTTTCAACTGCTTTATTTTAAATAGACTATCTTTCCTATATCTTCTCCTTTTAACAACATACATCACAAACATCTTCACAAGCAGGTAAATATAGGCCTGTATCTTTATTGTATTTTATTTTATTTCTTTTTCAGTTTTTGTAGTTCAGGGGCATCACCCATGCAAGGCTGAGTAACATCCCTGGCTACTGAGCTACACCCCTAGCACTGATTTTGTTTTTGATGGACACACAAGAGTCCATTGTGTCCTAAATCCATAACTGCAGGTCACCCTCTTCACTTAGCTGTCCCTAAAGTCCCTTATAAGAACTATCTGACAAACCTAAGCCCCTGTGGTGAGCCCTCAGCCCTGCTCCTCCTCTCCACTGCCCTTTGCATGCTCCCTCCTCCCCAAGATGACTCTTCCCTTCCTGGGTTCCTGCTTCTTTTGCAGTGGCCACCAGCTCCCGGGAGCACAGCCTGCACTCCAACTGGATCCTGCGGGCACCGCGTAGGCGTTTGGATGACACAGCGGTGGCTGGGCACACTGCAGATAGTCGGCTTCGGAAGACCCTGGAGTGCAGGATGCTGGGCATTCAGAGGAGGCTTGAGAGGCACCCCATTTACCTGCCCAAGGCTGTGGAAGGAGCATTCAACACCTTGAAATTTAAGCCCAGAGCCTGCCAAAAAGAGTAAGTGCTTTGGACTAGGGAGATGGCTCAAGTGGTAGGGCACAGGCCCAGCATGTAGGAGGCCCCGGGTTTGGTCCCTGGGACCATGTGCCCCTACTCCAGGTGGTGTGTGACGGTATGTAAGGATGTGAGCATGCTTGCAGTTTAGCCAGAGTGAGAGCGAGAGTGAGAGAGAGAGAGAGAGAGAGAGAGAGAGAGAGAGAGGTAGAGAGAGAGCGCACTTGGTTTCAAACAGTATCACTTAATCACTTAATCACTTAACTTCCCACTAGTCGTCGATTTGCTCGAGTGGGCGCCAGTAATGTCTCCATTTGTCCCTGTCGCGTGCTAGTGTAGCCCAATGGCATCTGTTCTCTCCGGGAACATGAAGGGCCTCAAACCGATCGTTCATGATCTTGACGAAGAAGTCTGACCATCTGGAAGGTGGGCGGCCACGCGGTCTTTTGACATCCCGTGGAATCCAGTCGGTAACAGCTCTAGTCCAGCAGTCGTCTTTAAATCTCATTACGTGACCAGCCCATCTGATTTTTGACACCTTGGCATATGAGACAGCATCCCTGATTCTTGATCGTCGACAGATGTCAGAACTCCAGATTCTCTCTCTCATTTGAGTGAAACGTGATATTCCAAGCATAGTTCTTTCTATTCTTCTTTGGGAGACCTGAATAGCATTCTCATCTTGTTTGCGTAGGGCCCAGGTCTCTGAGGCATATGTTAATGCAGGAAGAACAGTGGAATCAAAGAGATGTGCCCGGAGCCGGAGGTTCTTTGTCCTCTTAGCTATTTCTTCGACGTTCTTGAAGGCGTTCCAAGCTGCTCTCTTCCTCCTGCGCAGCTCGGGTGCCAGGTCATTTGTCATCTTGACCTCTCAACCTAGGTACACATAGCTGTTGCATTCGGAGATGGTCGTTCCATTGAGAGCGAATGGGGCATCAGGAACGAGGCTGTTTCTCATAAACATTGTCTTCGTAAGATTCAGCTGTAGTCCTACCTTTCCACACTCACGGTCAAAGTCGGACAGTATTTGTACCACTTGGCTGATGTTTGGTGTTATTAAAACAATGTCATCAGCAAAGCGGAGGTGGTGTAGTTGCCGACCATCTATCTTCACTCCCATTCCTTCCCATTCCAGTCGTCGCATGATGTTCTCGAGGGTGGCACTGAAGAGTTTTGGTGAAATGGTACCACCCTGCCGCACCCCTCTCTTGACATCAACGATCACTTCTTTGTAGAATGGTGAGATCCTGGTAGTGAATCCACAATACAGCTCACGGAGGATCCTGATGTATTGGGCTTGAATGCCCTGATTGGCTAGGACTTCAATGACTGCTTCCGTCTCAACAGAATCAAAGGCCTTCTTTAAATCAATGAACGTTAAACAGAGCGGCATCTTGAACTCCCGAGAAACCTCAATGAGCTTGGTTATCGTGTGGATATGGTCGATGGTGCTGAATCCTTTGCGGAATCCGGCTTGCTCGCATGGTTGTCCTTCATCTAGTGTTCTGCCAAACAGTATAACAAGATGTTCTCAAGGCCTCCAGATCTTGGGTGGTTCTTCAGGCGCATAAACCCCTATTCTATGGGCCCCAGATCATTCTTGTGAATCTCTGGGAGAAAGGTCTTAAGTAGAAGCAAATACTTTGGTGATCTGGACTGCCGAGACCACTCCTGACATTCTCATCCATTCTGCATCACTCACTTCCTGAACTCTCCCAGCCACCCTCTTGGTACCAGTTTCTCCTTGTTCCCCCATGTGCTACCAATAGTGTTACCAAGGTTTGTGATAAGAGTTTGAGTTCACTCTCCACTGCTGTTCAATATAGTACTGGAAGTACTTGCAATAGCGATTAGGCAGGAAAAAGATATTAAGGGCATTCAGGTAGGAAAGGAAGAAATCAAGCTCTCACTATTCGCAAATGATATGATACTCTACTTAGAGAACCCAATAACTTCCACCAAAAAACTCCTAGAAACAATAGACTCGTATAGAAAAGTTGCAGGTTATAAAATCAATACCCAAAAGTCCATGGCTTTCCTATACGCAAACAGTGAGAGAGAAGAAAGCAACATGAAAAAAACAATCCCGTTCACAATTGTGCCCCAGAAAATCAAGTACCTAGGAATCAGCTTAACTAAGGAAGTAAAGGACCCGTACAAAGAAAACTACAAAACGCTACTTCAGGAAATAAAAGAGGACATGAGGAAATGGAAAGATATCCCCTGCTCATGGGTCGGGAGACTTAACATTGTCAAAATGGCAATACTACCGAAAGCATTGTATAAATTCAATGCAATCCCTATAAGGATACCCATGACATTCTTCAAAGAAATGGAGCAAACACTCCTGAAATTTATATGGAACAATAAGCCCCCACGAATAGCTAGAGCAATTCTTGGGAAAAAGAAAATGGGAGGAATCAACCTCCCGAACTTCAAACTGTACTACAAAGCAGTAATAATTAAAACAGCATGGTACTGGAACAAAGGCAGAACTGCAGACCAATGCAACAGGGTTGAATACACTGACATCTCCCCTCAATCATATGCTCATCTAATCTTTGATAAAGGTGCAAGTAATGTGAAGTGGAGTAAGGAAAGCCTCTTTAATAAATTGTGTTGGCATCACTGGACGGCTACATGCAAAAAAATAGGCTCAGAACTCTGCCTAACACCATGTACAAAAGTAAGATCAAAATGGATTAAAGACCTCAACATCAGACCAGAAACCATAAGGTACATTGAAGATAAAGTTGGCAAAACCCTCCATGACATTGAAGCTAATGGTATCTTCAAAGATGCCACGCCACTGGCCGAGCAAGTGAAAACAGAGATAGATAAAGGGGACTATCTTAAACTAAGAAGCTTCTGCACCTCCAAAGAAACAGTGACCAAAATACAAAGACAGTCTACAGAATGGGAAAGGATATTCACCGAATACACATCTGACAAGGGGTTGATATCCAGGATATACAAAATACTGGTTTAACTCCACAAGAAGAAAACATCCAACCACATCCAAAAATGGGGCAATGAAATGAACAGAAACTTTATCAAAGAAGAAATCCGAATGGCAAAAAAGCACATGAGAAAATGCTCTACATTATTAATCATCAGGGAGATGCAGATCAAAACCACAATGAGATACCATCTCACACCTCAGAGACTGGCCCACATTCAAAAGAACAAAAGCAACCGATGCTGGCGTGGATGTGGCGAGAAAGGGACACTCCTTCACTGTTGCTGGGAATGTCCACTGGTTCAGCCCTTCTGGAAAACAGTATGGACGATTCTCAAAAAATTAGAAATTGAGCTCCCATTTGACCCAGCAATACCACTCCTGGGAATATATCCCAGAGAGGCAAAAATGTATAGTCGAAGTGACATCTGCACTTGTTTGTTCATTGCAGCACTCTTTACAATAGCCAGAAACTGGAAGAAACCTGAATGCCCAAGAACAGATGACTGGTTAAAGAAACTTTGGTACATCTACACAATGGAGTACTATGTAGCTGTTAGAAAAGAGGAAGTCATGAAATTTACATACAAGTGGTACAATATGGAAAGTATCATGCTAAGCGAAATGAGTCAGAAAGAGAGGGATAGACATAGAAAGATTGCATTCATCTGGGGGATATAAAGTAACAAAGTATGAGATTAATACCCAAGAATAGCTGAGATCAGCACCAGGAGGATTACTCCATAACTTAGAGGCCAGCCGGGTATCCTAGAGGAAAGGGCAGCTCAGATAGAGAAGGGAGCACCAAATAAAGGATGTTTGGAAGATCCTCCCAGGAGGGGAGATGCATGTCGAAAGTAGACTATGGACTGAACATGTTTGCCACTCAATGCCTCTTTTGCAGACCACAACACCCAAAAGGAGAGAGAGAACACAGGGGATTGCCCTGCCACAGAGACAGGGGGGATGGGAGGATGGGGGTGGGAGGGATATTATCCATGGTGGTGGAAAATGGGCACTGGTGGAGGGATGGGTATCTGATCATTGTATAATTGAAACCAAAGCACAAAAAATTGTAAATCTACAACTGTAAAAAAAAATAAAATAAAATAAAATAAAGGGGAAAAAAAGAGTTTGAGTTCTAATGAGCAGCACCTAGAGAAAATCCACATCAAATTGAGAGGCCATGTCCACCACCTCTTAGCTTCCCCGTTCTAACTTCCTATCTCCAGACTGTCTCAACTCCAAGTTCCTCATCCTGCTCAATTCTAGCAGTAAACACTCTGGACCAACTCAGCCAAGCCGTAGGAACTTTATCTTCTGAAAGGGTCTAACTTGAATCCACCATCTGTCTTTATTTTTGCAAGAGCCACCAACTCTGAAGGATCAGTGGGTTTTCTAAGTAGCATTTCCCTATACTTTTTAAGGGTTCAGTTTTGGGAACATAGTGTCCCTAGGTCCCAGCTCATATTCTCTATCCTTGCAATTCAGGATGAGGTTGAGATTCATTCACTCTGTCCTTCTAGGTTCTAACCTTTGGGGAGTAGCTGAGAGTCTCCCCTGGACTGGGGATCAGAGGGTCCCTTTTCAGCGTGCCTAGTTCCTCTAAACCTAATCGTGTCATTTGTCCCTTCCAGCTTGGGGAGCTCCAGACAGATCCTCTTCAACTTCTCAGGAGATGAAATGGACTGGGACACAGAGCTTTTTACGCCTGAGCCCCTGACTTCTCGAGGGGAGGATGCATACGAGCCAGGGAGCCCCCAGGGGCAGTGGCTGCTTAGAGAACATCTGTGGGAGCGGACAGTGCCCTGATGCCACTGGAGCTATCTGCTCTGGGACACACACAGGGTCTCTGGACTGGAAAGGGGAGGAGTGACCCTGTCAAGCCCAATGAGCGCCAAACACACGGGGCTTTGCAGAAGAGCTGCCGGGGAACCCCTGGGACCCTGCATTCTTGCAGGGGAAGCTGAGCAATGAGGGATAACAAGATGGGCTTCAGCAGTCTGAAGGAAGGGGAGGCTGGGGGGTACGTGCACCCAGCTCCCCACCAGCTCCTTGTGCTCAGTGCATCTGTCCAAGTGGCCGCTAAAATCATGTTCAGGACTGGAAACCAACCAAGCCAGATATCTGGCCAAAGTCTTCACAGTAGAAGGCCCTCACCACCCACAGGACTCAGGAACTCTGCTCAAATGGACATCACCTCCTGCTGTGCAAAACGGAAGCTCCTTTCACGCAGACGCACTTCATAATATTCTGGAAAATTCTGCTGGATTGTACTGAAGGGGAGGCCTGGCAGTGGAATTGGCAAAGGGTGTATGTTGGAGCCTAGACTGGCAACCAGCTCTGGCCCCCACCCCCACTCCCTATTTCCAAACTCAGGCAGTTGGCCATAGAAGAGGGAGATGAGTTTTCCTGATTATCATTCAGAAAATCCCTAGAGATGCTTGTGCAGCCAGTTTATCATAGCCTGTCTTTCCTTTCTGATGGACAAAGCAGGCAAGAGTGTCCTGGTATTTTGAGTCAGGAAGAATTTCCATGTTTGGGTAGTTGTCAGATCTGAATTACAGTTTGGGGGAAAAGCACACCTGCAGTGCTTAGGGTTTATCCTGACTCTATACTCAGGGATCACTCTGGGAGAGACTTAAGGGACTATATGGGGTGCCAGGGATCAAACCTTGGTCAGTCACATGCCAGACAAGCACCTTACCCACTGTACTCTCTCTTGGGAACCCAAATTGCACGTTGAATATATTCTTTGCATTTCTCACATACTTTTTGCATTCTTGCATATAGTTTACTGTGCTCAATCAGGTCTCAGAACTTTTTGAAATTCCCTGTAATTCATCCATTGTCATATATTCTGTAATTTTCTTGTGGGAAAAAAAGGGGTCACCTGGAAGGTTATTCCCATTAACACAGGTGTGTTACTTGGGTATTTGAGAGGAGGACAGATCAGCAAAAAAAAAAAAAAAAAAAAAAACAATCATCCAAATGAAGCTAAGGATTCAGATATTACTCCAAAAAGGTGATAAATCTTCCTTTTGTCAGGTCTGTGTCCTGATAGTCTTAGTTTTGAGAGGATAATTTTGTTTTCTCTTGTAACAATATTAATATGATCTCACTAGGCTCTCTAACTCCTATGAGAAAAAAAAGCAGCCTAAAAACTAAGAAGCATTCTTTGAAATTTTTAGAATTTTTATTTTCATAATGAAAACACCCTGGTAATGTGTGATACTTTTATTGTATTTTTCTTCTTTGTGAGTGCCAATGTCACTGTTTTGAGGGGTTCTTTCATTTTGTTGCTGATACTAAGCCTACAATAGCCATAAGCATGACTGTTGAATAAATGTTTGAGAGACCTATTTCTTTTATCAGCTGCATTAAAGCACACCCAGGAAACAGAACCATGGATCTCACATTACTGTCCAAAGTGACCTTGTTTTAAAGCCCACTTAGAAAAATTCATCACTGTGAATTAAAATTCTCTTCTGTCACCTCTTATCAGAGGCTGGTCCTGACATTAAATGGTGAAGATATCCTGTATGTTTTGCATTTAAAAAATAAACAAAACAGAAATGAGAGTGAAAAGTCTTGATATTTATTTATTAGTATTTAGTGTTTATGGGCTGGAGCGATAGCACAGCAGTAGGGTGTTTGCCTTGCGCGCAGCCAGCCTGGCGGAGCCTGGTTCGATTCCTCTGCCCCGGCAAGCTACTGAGAGTATCTCACCCGCATGGCAAAGCTACCCATGACATATTTGATATGCCAAACACAGTAACAACAAGTCTCACAATGGAGACGTTACTGGGCTCGCTCGAGCAAATTGATGAACAACAGGAGGTCAGTGCTACTTGTGCTTATGGGATTTAATGACATGCTTTTTTCTTTTGCTGCATCTAGTGTATGTATTCTGTCTTTAATAAGACCCCATACAAGATTGCCTGAAAAATTCCATGATCCAAAACATAGACTGGATTGTTTTTCTATTTGAAGTCTGTGATATTTCCCTCATTCCACAATCTGGGACACACCCCAGCATCCTGGGAAGGTGTCTCCTGAGGTTGGGAGGCATGTAAAAGCTGAGAGAGAAAGTTGATTTGATTTAAAAAAAAAAACACTCATATGATAGATTCTTTCCCCTCTTCCCTTCAGTTACCTGGTCGTGAGGGCTTTATTTTTGCTTTCCCAGAGCATCTTGCTTTGAAAATATGTCTCTCTGTGTGCTCTGTAGGCTGCAGAACTGCCTTCTAGTGGCCACTGTCAGAACCCAGAGGGCTTCCAAAAGGAAACTGGCCACTGGCCCTCCTCCCTGATGACCTTTTCACAAAAGATCCATTTTTAAATGATGCTCTAACAGCCACAAACTCAGAACCATCAGTGGAATAACACATTTATTCTCTTATAGCTGGAAGGTGTGGGAAGAGCCCAAATCACTTTCCCTGGGATCAAAGTGCAGGCAGGTTTGAGTCCCTCTGGAGGTTCTAGACGAGAATCCACTTTCTGTTCAGTTCTGTCTTCCAGAGGCTGCCTGCTCTCCTGGGCTTGTAAACCTCTCCATTCCATCACCCCAGGCTTTTGATTCTGTCATCAATTTTGACCCACTCACTTGGAGCCATCTTGCTCTTGTAAGGATCTCTTTGATGATGTCAGTTACACCTGAAAAGACCCAGGATGATCTGTCATGTCAATTCCCCCATCATACAACTTCCCAGTCCTTTCAGCACGTCAGGTAACATCCACAGGCTTAGAAACCAAGGGGTGGTGGTGATCTGGCGAGACCAGGTCCTTCCTCAGTCTCGCACCCTTAGTATTCCAGATACCCTGGTCCTTCCGATCCAAGCAGCCTTGTTTCTTTTACACTTGAAGATCACGGCTTAATGTCTCTGACAAACTCTGACTTAATTATTAATTCTCAAATCTCTTGGTTCTGGGTGCTACCCAGTAGTTTTGTGAAGTTGGAATTCTGTCTTTTCTGAAGGATTTCCCCTCTATGAATTAGAGTTTCCGATGAGGCAACATTCACAAGTAGATGGATATGTCAGCCCAATGGGTTGGTTTGTTGGTTTCTAGCCCATGTGTGTGCAGGGCTCATGCCTACAGCTCTTCATGTAAGTAGTGTGAATCAATGAAAGACTGTGAGCCGAGAGTCTTAGGGGAACTGGAGACTGCAGAAAAGTCTGAGGGGCTGGGGCTGGAGTGATAGCACAGTGGGTAGGGCATTTGCCTTGCACGCAGCTGACCCGGGTTTGATTTCCAGCACCCCATATGGCTCCCTGAGCACGGCCAGGAGTAATTCCTGAGCACAAAGCCAGGAGTAACCCCTGAGCATCACCAGGTGTGACTCAAAAAACAAAACAAAAAAAAAAAGAAAAAGAAAAAGAAAAAAAGTCTGAGGGGCTGAGGCAATGGACAGAAGTCCAGTGCTGGTAAAGGGGGCACTTTGGGGGGCATTCAAATGTGTCATCTACTTATTTGCGAATAGATGAACACCCATGCTTGTCCAGAAATCTTTCAAGAAAAGAACTCATAATCCCTGCTTTAATGCTAGCGGATTCAAAGAAAGAGGTACATAAGCAAGAAGCAAGCACACATCTGGTGCCAAATTACTAAAATAGAGCCAAGAGTCAGGTCGTGAATGATGCTGTGAAGTCAGAGAAAACTGGGAGAGGAGTGGTGGGAGTGGGGTGTCAGTGGGAGGAAGCTCCTCTGGGCAGGGATCTTGGGACAGAGGCCTGAACAAATGAAGGATGAAGTGAGATCAGGGGCAGGACAGGGGAGCAAATGAAGGAGTCAAGTGTAAGGTGCCAGGAAAACAGGAAGGAGGGCATTGTGTACGCAGAGCAAGTAGAGGGGCGGTACCCAGAGATCCTTGCAAGATCTTTCTGGAGAGCAGCCAATTCAATAAACTTTCTCAAAGATGATTCTCGGGGGCTGGAGTGATAGCACAGTGGTTAGGGCATTTGCCTTGCACACAGCCAACCCGGGTTCGATTTCTAGCATCCTATGTGGTCCCCTGAGTACTGCCAGGAATAATTCCTGAGTGCATGAGCCAGGAGTAACCCCTGTGCATCACTGGGTGTGACCCACCCCCCAAAAGACAATTCTTTCACCAGAGGGAAAGTTGGGAAGCCACTTGGGTAGATTTGCCATGGTCCAAACTAGAGCTGGTGGTGACTGCAACCTGGATGGAAGGAATTGGGGAGAGAAAGATGACTGACTGGACTAGTACAAACTCTGGGGGACCCAAAAGACAGCACAAGGGTTAAGGTTCTTGCTTGCAGACCCCATCTGGTCCCCTGAGTACCTCCAGAAGTGATCCCTGGGTGCGGAGTCAGGAAAATGCCCTGAGCATTGCTGGGTGTGGGTCAACCCCTACTTCCCCCCTCTCCTCTGAAAAAAAACAACCCAAACCCACAAAGGAACAAACCCTGAAGTAGACCTGCCATCTTGAAGCTGGCTGTGAATTTGATATGAGGAAGGACAATGTTAGCTGGAGGCACCAGAGTTGGCCTTTATTAACTTATTAATTAAATTATTAATTAAATTATAGGCTGGAGCGATAACACAGCGGGTAGAGCATTTGTTTTAAACGTGGTCAACCTGAGTTCGATTCCTCCGTCCCTCTTGGAGAGCCCGGCAAGCTACTGAGAGTATCCTGCCCCCACGGCAGAGCCTGAAAAGCTCCCCGTGGCATATTCGGTGTGCCAAAAAGGGTAACAAAGTCTCACAATGGAGACATTACTGGTGCCCGCTCAAGCAAATTGATGAACAATGGGAGGGCAGTACTACAGTGTTAATTAAATTATTAAATT